GTTGAGTTCTACCCCACATCTTAGCAGAGGGTGGAACCAGAAAGAAACGATTTGAAGCCCTGAGTAAAACCTGACTCAAAAGAAGTTGATTTCCCTGCTTAAAGAAGTATCTTGTATTTTGTACTTATACTTTTAAAGGGTCATTTACATGTTTTCTTCTGCAAAGAGGACATGTATTCACATGCTACATACATCCTCATTATTTTTTAAACATTATGAACACACAGAAAAGTGCACTAGTTGTAAATGTGTGGCTCCTTACACACCACAAAAGCCCCCTTGTTCCCCTTTCCAGACATTTCCCTAAGGAGAATCATTTTCCTGATTTCTTCAAACAGAGATTAGTTTTGTCTGTTTTTGTATTTTGTACAAATCGAATCATAGAGCATATATTCTTTTGTGTCTGGCTTCTTTACTCAACATTGTGTTTGATATTCATTCATGTTGTTGCCAGTAGCAATATTTCATTCATTCTCATTACTGTATTCAATTGGTGAATATTTCATACTTTATTTACCCAACCTACTATAAATAGGCATTTGGCAGTTTCCAGGCTTTGGCCATTGTAAAGAGTGCTGCTTTGGACATTCTTGGATGTCTTTGGTGAACATACATGCACATTTCTCAGATTAAATTCCTAAGAGTGGAATTACTAGGTCATAGAGTATATGTTCACCTTTAGTAGATAATGCCAAACAGTTTTTCAAAGTGTATAAATTTGCACTCTTATCAGCAGTGTATTAGAGTTCTAGTTGCTCCACATGTTTCTCAACATTTGATGTCGTCTATCCTTTTCATTTAAATAATTCTGGTGAGGACAGTAATACTGCATTATGATTTTAATTTAAAATTTCCTGATAACTAATGAAGTCAAACACAGACCTTTTTCAAAAGTTTATTGACCATTTGGGTATCTTTTGTCAAACGACTCCAGATTTTGCCCATTTTTCAGTGGTGCTGTCTATGTCTTCTTTGTTTTATAAGAGTTCTTTAAAATTCTGGATATGAGTCCTTTGTCAGATATATGTATTATAAATTATCTTCTCTTTTCTGTGGCCTGCCTTTTCACTCTCTTAATAGTATCTTTTGATGAATGAAAGTTCTTAATACTGAAGGAGTCCCATTTATCATTTTTTTTTCCTTCATGATTAACACTTCCTGTAACCTCTTTAAAAAACTTAACCCAAGGTCATTAAGAATTCTATTTTCTTCTAAAAGCTTCCTGTTTTACCTTTTACATTTAGATCTGCAGCCCATCTGGAATTGATCTTTGTGCCTGGCATGAGGTTTGGGTGAATATACATTTTTCCCCCATATGACTTCCCAAATGACCCAGCTTTAATTTTCTAAAGATTATCTTTTCCCACTCCATTACTGTATCTATCCTCACCATTTTTAATACTGTAAACATTTCATTGTATGGCACTCCCATAACTTATTTAGCTAC